TCTGTCCCTATTCTGCACAGAAATGCTATTTCCTCAATCTGAATATTTGATAGCAAATTGATCCGGAATGTTACGTCCTTTTCAAAAGAAGCACAAAGGTTCACTTTTTCGTAGATACATATAATAGTTTAGAAGTGGTGGTTTTTCCCCAAATTTCATCTACCTTATCTCCTGGAACAGAAGGTTTCAGCCTCTACCTAGAGCTCTACCTTTCCAACTCTGACCTGGAGATAATTCAGGAGTTAGAAGAATTGACCAATTTGGTGGACAGAATGAGGAAAGATGCCTTTCTAGAGTTAAGAATCAGAACTTTGATCACATTTTTTCCTTATAGGGAAAAAACAAACAAAAGTTAAAATGAAATGGTATCATTTATATTATTGATCAAATGTCTTTAGATTGCTACCTCAGAACCCAATAATTTATGATACTGTATCTATATAGAAAACAATGTGCAAGTAAATTTTAAAGGCCAAGTTTCTTTAAAATATTATCTGTGCTACAATATACTGCAACTTTATTTTTTTTTATTTCAACATATTACGGGGGTACAAATGTTTAGGTTACATATATTGCCCCACCAGAGTCAGAGCTTCAAGCATGTCCATCCCCCAGATGGTGCTCACTGTACCCATTAGGTGTGTATATACCCATCCCCTCCTCCCCCCTCCCACCTGCCTGACACTTGAAGAATGTTACTACTGTATGTGCACATACGTGTTGATCGGTTAACACCAATTTGATGGGGTGTACACGTGGTGCTTGTTTTTCCATTCTTGTGACACTTCACTTAGCAGAATGGGCTCCAGCTCTATCCAGGATAATACAAGAGGTGCTAGATCACCATTGCTTTTTGTGGCTGAGTAGAACTCCATGGTATACATACACCACATTTTCTTAATCCACTCATGTATTGGTGGGCATTTGGATTGTTTCCACATCTTTGCAATTGTGAATTGTGCTGCTATAAACATTCTAGTGCAGGCGTCTTTTTTATAGAATGTTTTTTTTGTCTTTGGGTCGATGCTCAGTAATGGGATTGCTAGATCAAATGGTAGCTGACTGACATTTACAGAACGTTCTACCCCAAAACCACTGAATATACATTTTTCTTATCAGCTCATGGGACATTCTCTAAGATTAACCATATCCTAGGCCAAAAAGCATGTCTCAACAAGTTTAAAAAAAGTAGAAATTGTACCATGCATCTTCTCAGACCACAGTGGAATAAAATTAGAAATTAACTCCAACAGAAACTCTCATCTCTACACAAAGTCATGGAAATTAAACAACCTTCTGCTGAACGATTATTGGGTTAAGGAGGAAATTAAGA